TGGGGATCAAGCCCATAACCCGGGCATGTGCCCTTGACTGGAATCGAACCCGGGACCCTTCAGTCCACAGGCCAATGCTCTATCCACTGAGCCACACCGGCTAGGGCCATCCTTATCTTTTAATGAAAATTCAGCCCCTTCGCATGCATCTGATTTTACCCCTATCTCACGTTGTGTTTATGACTGAGTTCACACCATTGTTTCCCCTTTCTGTCTGCCAGTTTAATCAAGTTGCTGTAAATTCCATGTGTCCTCTTTTTTAAAAAAAAATAGATTTATTGATTTCAGAGAGGAAGGGAGGGGGAGAGATAGAAACATCAATGATGAGAAGGAGTCATTGACCAGCTGCCTCCTACATCTCCCTACTGGGGATTGAGCCCGCAACCCAGGCATATGCCTTTGACCGGAATCGAACCCAGGGCCCTTCAGTCTGCAGGCCGATGCCCTATCCACTGAGCAAAACTGGCTAGGGCTGTTTTTATTGGTTTTTAGAGAGAGATAGAAACATTGAAGAGAGAGGAACACCACCACAACCACCACCACCACCACCACCACCACCACCACCACCATCATCATCATTGATCCGCTGCCTCCTGCACCCCCCCTACTGGGGATCGAGCCCAGAACCCAGGCATGTGCCCTGACCAGGAATTGAACTGGCGACCTCTTGGTTCCTGGATTGATGCCCAACCGCTAGGCCACACTGGCTGGGCTAGGCACTCATTTCTTCATGGAAACACCAACATACAGACCAAGACCAAAGGAGCTCTGTGAGGCCTCTGAAAACCAGTTAAGAAACTTCAGCAATAAAACAAATGATCAAAAAATAAAAGCTGCACTCACAATGCTAAGAAATCTCATGGTAACTTTGCTTATTTTCGTCCCATCGCTTTCCTGGTACAATGCAGACAGACTGGGAGGAAACCACCCAACTACTAACTTCTGCCTTGGGATGGAATGAAAAGAGTGGCATTTGCTTGCAGAGTTCTGGTTAGTATAGAGGCAGCCTGGGGGCACTGGTTTATCTCTTGCCTGAAGGAGCACTGATGGGAATAGAGGCATAGTTTGTATGTCTGGTTGGAAGCTATCAAAAGCAGGGGTTGGAGCCATGGCACAAAAGAGTTGCAGGGTTACTGCAGACCTGTGGGTGTTTGGGTATAAGATATTACAGGCAGAACAATAATATAAACCAACTAAGGGCTTGAGAAGAAGTAAGGAAGAGACATTTTGGGAAATTAAGACATTAAAAAGTAGTCATATGTACAGAGGAACTGGAATTTAAAAATGTACAAGCCCCCAAAAGACCCATCTCCACAAGTTTTGAGAGCACAGGTAAATGTGACACCACCAATGGAAACAAAGAAAGCTCCAGTAAGTGACCTAAAGAAATGGAGAGCAATAAACTGTCAGACAAAGAATTCACAATAATCCTTTTAAGGAAGTTTTATGAACTACAAGAAAACACCAAATAGACAAGTAAACAAAATTAGGAAAATAATACATGAACAAAATGAGAAGTTCAACGAAGAACCAGCAACAATTAAAAAAAAACCCAGAAATTCAAAAATACAATAACTGAACTGAAGAAATTCAATAGAAAGTTTCAAAAGTAGACTTGACCATGTGACCTGAACATTAGAAATTACCCAGTTAGAGGAGCGTGAAAAAAGCCAATGGGAATTATGGGGCACAATGAAAATAAACAAGTTTCATATTGTGGAAATTCCAGAAGGAGAAGATAAATATAAAGGAACAGGAAGTATATTTAAAGCAATAATGGCAGAAAAATTCCTGATCTTGGGGAAAGAAATGAACATCCATACTCATGAAGCCCTAAAGATCCCAAATAGGTTGAACACAAATAGGGCTACACCAAGATGGATTATAATTAAGTTGTTAAAAGTAATATGCTAAGTGAAATAAGTCAGTCAGAGAAAGACAATAAGTCAGTCACATGATCTCACTCATATGTGGAATCTAATGAACAAAATAAACTGATGAACAAAATAGATTCAGACACATAAAA